CGAAAAAGAATGCCACGTTCGATGAGAAAGGATGCTTACCCCTTCGGGCCCAAGGAGACCAGGGTGTCCGACACCTACGCAGCGCCTCGTTTTGCGGCGGACAACCTTCAAAACCTCGCCGACACATGATTCAAAGTCTGGCGCGAAAGCGCAGGTATCACAGATTGCGCAGTATGACTGCTTCTCTTATGCTACTCATCCTGCTGCTGCTGTTCCTGCTGCTGTTCCTCCTCCTCCTCCTCCTCTTCCTCGTCATCCTCCTCCTCCTCCTCCTCCTCCTCCTCCTCCTCCTCCTGGTCATCCTCCTCCTCCTCCATTCTCATCATCAACATCATCACCATCATCATCATCATCATCATCATCATCATCATCATCATCATCATAACCATCATCATCAGCATCAGCATCATCATCAACATCAGCATCATCATCATCATCAACAACAACCTCGTCATTCCTCCTGTTCGTCATCGATGTTTCACGCTCCACATCCTCCTCCTCCCCCTCATCCACCACCTGCAAGCAAGTACACTTGAGGCAACGAGTGAAGAAAAACTCGCCTGAGAAGCGTGAGCCACCTTCCGTGCAAAATCTTGGGCTACCGCTGGGCCAGCCCTGTCAGTACAGCATCCTGCGCGCACACGGGGCTAGAGCTTAACCAGCTTCCCGAAAGATACGGAAGAAACTCTAGGCCAGGCAAGCGAGGAAAGGTTCCAGAATGGTCGGTACATCTGTACGAACCCTGCCTCCGTGGGTCCAAACGAGAGTCGGGCGTCCGACACCCCTGCAGGGGCTCCTTTTGCCGAGAATGTGCTTCAATGTTTTGAGCACCCGCAAGTTGTCTCGAAAGGCTGGCCCGCTGGTGCAGGGAGCACGTGCGATTGCTTCCCAGTCCGACCCACATACTGCGATAGAGTAGGTAAGTTACTGCGCCTGCAATGTTGAAGGCATGCGTGACCAGTTGGATAAACGGGACATGTGTGCCTAGTCGTCGACAGCATGGAAGATCATTGAGGATCCTCACATGCTCCATTCTCGTCGCCATCATCATCATCCACCCTACTTTGGCCTGCATCACCAATCTCATCCTGCAGTATTATCCCTCCTGCCTCATCCAACATCCTCCTCAGCCTCTTAGATTTATCCTCTTGCTCCTCCCCCTCCTCCTCCTCCTCCTCCTCCTCCTCCTCCTCCTCGTCCTCCTCATCTTCCTCCTCCTCCTCCTCCTCCTCCTCCTCCTCCTCCTCCTCCTCCTCCCCCTCCTCCCCACACCGCCCTCTTGTCAACCCCCGCGCACGCGCTCCGATGCGCAGGGGGAAGAGGAGGAGGAGGAGGAGAAGTTGAAAAAAGAAGAAGGAGACGAAGAAGCAAGAAAGACAAAGGAGATGGAAAGAGGGGGGAGAAAGGAGAGAAGGGGTCTGAACTTCCCTACAGATCCTCCTCATCCTCCCTCCTCCTCCTCCTCCTCCGCCTCCTCCTCCTCCTCCTCCTCCTCCTCCTCCTCCTCCTCTTCCTCCTCCTCCTCCTCCTCATCCCTCTCCTCCTCCTCCTCCACTCCTTCCACTTACAAAATAACTCCTCCCTGTCGCACCCCGCGGCAAGTTTTTAGGGCGGGCCAGGCGTTTCGCCTGAGACGTCCTCACCAATAATGACTCTGAAGCTTCAAATGGCAAGAGCTTCACAGATGTAGGGCGGTTTGTTTTCAATATGTGGCGCTCGCCTTAGCGCCGCGCACATTCGCCTTAGAAAATTACAAGGGTTTCACGGATTCAAGACGGGTGGTTTTCAAACTGTGGCTCTCGCCTTAGCGCCGCGTACATTCGTTTTTACAGTTGCAAGAGTTTCACGGATTGAGAGCGGGTCGTTTTCCAACTGTAGCTCTCGCCTAGGCGCGGGGCACATTCGTTTCAAACATTTGCAAGGGTTTCACGGATTGAGGGCGGGTCGTTTTCAGAATGTGGTTCTCGCCTTAGCGCCGCGCACATTCATTTCGAAAAAAATGCAAGAGTTTGACGGATTGAGGGCGAGTCGTTTTCAACATGTGGCTCTCGCATTAGCGCCACGCACATTCGTTTTCAACATGTGCAAGAAGTTTTACGGATTGAGGGCGGTTCCTTTTCGAAATGTGGCTCTCGCCTTAGCGCCGCGTACATTCGTTTTTACCATTTGCAGAGTGTCAAAGGTTGAGAGCGGGTCGTTTTCAAAATGTTGCTCTCGCCTTAGCGCCGCGCGCATTCGTTTTCAAAATTCGCAAGAGTTACACGGACTCCCATGACCAACGTACCAGGAATTGTGTCTCGGAATGATCCATGACTATGCGGGTGCAACAGGTATGTTGGCTCGCGGTGTCGAAGTCCCAAGAATGGCGTTCTGGCACGATTCCAGATCGTCAGGACGCGGCAGTCAGGTTGACCCGTAGCGTGGAAATCCCGAGAACAATGTTTGGGCATGCTTCGAGGTCTGCAGACGGTTGTCTTCCAACGAGGCAGTTCCCTCAATCTAAATGAACCGTTGTAGGGGTCTGTGAAGAGGGAGCTTGGAGGGAGGGTGAATTCCAACATCGTTGATGACTCTTGGGCTTACACTGGTCCTCCTCCTCCTCCTCCTCCTCCTCCTCCTCTTCCTCCTCCTCCTCCTTCTCCTCCTCCACCTCATCCTCCGCCTCCTCTTCCTACTCCTCTTCCTCCTCCTCTTCCTCCTCCTCCTTCCTCCTCTCTTTCCTCCTCCTACTCCATCTTGTCTCATCCTATCCTGATCTTTTGATCCTCCTCCTCCTCCGCCTCCTCATCCTCCTTTGGTCTTCCTCCCTCCTCTCCTCCCTTCCATCCTCCTCCTCTTCCTCCTCTTCTCCTCCTCTCCACCTCCTCTTACTCCTTCTCCTTCTCTATCCTCCTCGTACTCCATCTTGTATCTTCCTCATCCTCATCTTCTTCTGATCCTCCTCCTCCGATTCATCCTCTTCCGATTTCCTCCTCCTCCTCCTCCTCCTCCTCCTCCTCCTCCTCCTCCTCCTCCTCCTCCTCCTCCTCCTCCTCCTTCCCCCCCCCCCGCGCGGAATGGGACCCGCCGCGGGGTTGGGCCCGCCTCGCCGTGGTGCCGGGCGTGCCGTGCCCCTCGCTGTCCGGGTAGACCTCCAACACGCCCGCCTCGCAGGGGGGGGGAGGGCGTGGGCCCGAGCTTTCCTCACAGAGGATAGGGGTGCAGAAAGAGGAAGAGACGGAGGAGGAGGAGGAGGAGGAGGAGGAGCAGGAGGAGGAGGAGGAGGAGGAGGACCCCCTCCCCCTCCAACTTTATGGTGGTGGTGGCGGGAAACAAGGAGGAAGAGACGGAGCAAGCCTGCACGCGCACGAACTTCGGGAGCCATTTGCCCATCACGCCGCCGCCACGGACCTGAAGGACGCTCGCGTAAGCCTCGTCCACCATGGCTGCGCACCCTCCCGCACTCGCCTCTGTTGCCACGCCAGGATGGGGGGACCAAGGGGGCTGGCGAAGGGGCCACGGTCTGGTCCAGAAACAACTTGCGGGCGGCGCTTGAAGGGAGGGGAGGGCGGAGGGGGAAGAACGGAAGAGGGAGGGAGGAAGAGGGAAGAGGACAGGAGGATAGAGGAGGAAGGGGGAGGAGGGAGGCGAGAGAGCACCCAAGATTTGTTCCACCAAAGGTACGAGGGAAAGCAGAGAGGCAGAACGGAGGAGGCAGGAGGAAGGCGGAACAGCGTCAGCGACGAGGCCGGAGTTGCCCATGGCAAACGTCCCCAGCACCCCCGTGAGACGTTGAGGCTGGGGCCGCAAAACAGGATACAGGGGGGATTCGGCCCAGAACGCTTGTCCTGGAGCCACAGCACGGCAGGCCGCTGCTCGACGATGGGCGTAGAAGCGCGGGTGGGGAGGGTAAAGCCCCACACCACCGCGTGGCCCTCAGAGAAACCGCCAGGCATTCGGCCAAACGTGCCCTCTGCGATGCCGCCAGGGATGCCGACGCGCCCTCCAAGATGTGCTGGGCATAGCTTCAGGCACGGCATGATCACCCGAGCGTTGGCAATCACAGGCCCTTCTCTGGGAAGGGATCCTCGTGGGACGTGGCCTCTAGGCGAAGTAGGTTGGGGGGCTGCAGGTGGAGAAGGATGTGGAAGACCTGGAGACCGACGGCACGGTGGCCGATCCCGCTACTACCCAGGAGCGGCTCGCGACAGGTGCCCCCGAAGCGGACTGGACGGGCGCCCATGCGAGGCGCTCCAGAGGGAGCCTCCCGACATCGGTTTGCTACCATTCGTTTCAATCCTGCGCCAGCACGTGACCAGCAAATCGGCCTCCTGTGCACCAGGGCCAGAATCCCACCAGCACCCTGGGCGGAACTGGTTTAGCGGGTGTCCTCTTCCAACCCCCCAGTCTTCTCCTTCGGGGAAGAATTGATCATTATTCCCCAATAATAAACACCCCCTCCCCCACCCGATCGGCACCCAACCCATACCCAATCGGGCACCCGTGTGGGCCCTCCCCCAACATCCCTTGCAAAAACCATACTCGTACACTTTGCCTCAAAAATTGGAGCATGCGCGGGGGCCTTGCGACAATTTTGCAGTGGTTTGTGACAGGGACGGCGGGGGTGTTGGCTTGTTGCTTGCTGCGCGCAGGCCAACACACACACACACACACACACACACTCACCATCCCTTGGAAAAAATATAAAATGCATTTGTCACCAAAAATCTGGACCATGCGCGGACGCCCCGCGATCAATTTGCATTGGTTTTGACAGGGACGGCAGGGGGGAGGCAGATCGCCTCCTGTGTGCAATACCAACACCCCCAGCACATCCTACAAAAAACGCCACAACATTCACTATGCACTAAAGTCTGGGTCATGCGCGAACGCCTCGCGCTCACTTTGGATGTTGAAAGAGGATGGCGGGGGTGGCGGCACATTGCCTGCTGCGCGCCGGCCCACCATCCCTTCCAAAAGAGAGCAAGCAAACTCGTTTTGCCGGGGACGGCAGCGGGAACGGCATATTGCATGCAGCGCACAGGCCCAGCATCCGCGTCAAAAACAAATGCAAGGCGATCATGAGCGCACACCCGCACACAACAAACCCGCCGTCATTTTGCATTGGTTTTTGAAAACGACGGCGGGATGTACAACGTATTGCCCAACATGGAGCATCTGGCGCTCGTGGCGCAGCTGGCATGCGCGGCGCACCTCGCGGGGTTCGCGCACGTAGCTGGCGTATGCACTGATTCCCGATGGTTGTCGATGGCGGCCCCTGTCCATGCTGAGACCCGGGTGCTACTCATTTGCTGGGAGGGCAGGTGGGAATGAGCGAGACGGTGCCTTGTCGGTGTCTTGACCCATCCGCCCATAACCCGTACACCTGGGTCTGGAGGGGAGGGGCCGCGGATCGTGAGAGCGTCCAAGAAGGCATCGGCTAGAACGCAAAAAACAACTGATATTACTTCGGTTGTGGGCCAATTTGGGCCCATTGGGGCCTCCTCATGGGGATACTTTAGTCTTCCCCTTCTTTGTTCCAAGACGGCCCCGAGATGGCCCCCCAGGCTCCAATGAGTGCCCAAGGGGGCCCCAAAAGGCGCCCAGGGGGCCCCAAGGGGCCCCCAAGGGATTCCCAAGAGGCCCCCAGGAGACCCCGCGAGGCCCCAAGAGTTCCCTCGAGGCACCCAAAACGATCCAAGAGGCCCGGACCGCCAAGAGGCCCCCAAGACGCCCCAACAGTAGTCCAAGAAGATCTTCAGAGCCATCCGAAGAGACCCCGAGCGGCATCCAAGAGGCCTCTGGCCTTTCTGCTCGCACTCCTCCTTTTCGTCATCCTCCTCTTCCTCCTCCTCCTCCTCGTCCTCCTCCTCTTCCTCTCCTCCTCCTCCTCCACCCTCCTCCTCCTCCTCCTCCTCCTCCTCCTCTTCCTCCTCCCCTCGTCCTCTCCTCCTCCTCCTCCTCCTCCTCCTCCTCCTCCCTCCTTCCCCTCCTTCCTCCTCCTCCTCTTCCTCCTCCTCCTCCTTCCCTCCTCCTCCTCCTCCACCTCCTCTCCTCCTCCCCTCCTCATCCTCCTCCCTTCTTCTCTCTCCTCCTCCTCCTCCTCCTCCTCCTCCTCCTCCTTCTCCTCCTCTTCCTCCGCCTTCTCCTCCTCCTCTATTCCTTGTTTTTTCCTTATAACCTGTCGCACACCGAGGCCGGTCGAAAGGGCGGGCCGGCCGTTTCGCCTCAGACTTGTGACCCCGATGCTGAATTATCTTGGCGAAAGACGCAACCGTACGCAAGTGTGAGAACCGCAGGGCAGGCGGGACGACGCAAGGGGAATCCCCAATGGGGCCACGAACCGTGCGAGGGGTACGCCAAAATGGCGTGGGGCTGCCATGCGAACCCTGCCACTAGGGCCTTCGGTGGAGCTCCCTATGGGGCCACGAACCGTGTGAGGGATGCGCCACAATACGGCTGGGCCACCTCGCTAACCCTGCCATTGGGGCCTTCGGTGGGGCTCTCTGTGGGGCCACGAACCGCGTGAGGGGTGCGCCAACAGGAGGCGGGGCCGCCATGCGAACCCTGCCACTGCGGCCTTCGGTGGAGCTCCCTATGGGGCCACGAACCGTGTGAGGGGCGCGCCAACATGAAGCGAGGCCGCCATGCGAACCCTGCCGCCGGGGCCTTCGGTGGAGCCCCCTAGGGGCCACGAACCGTGTGAGGGGTGCGCCAACATGAGGCGAGGCCGCCATGCGAACCCTGCCACTGGGGCGTTCGGTGAAACTTCCTATGGGGCCACGAACCGTGTGAGGGATGCCCCGCTATGGCGCGGGGCCGCAGTGCGAACCCTGCCATTGGGGCCTTCGGTGGCGCTCCTTGTGGGGCCACGAACTGTGTAAGGGGTGCGCCAAAATGGGGCGGGGCCGCCATGCGAACCCTGCCATTGGGGCCTTCGGTGGAGCTCCCTGCCAACATGCGGGGCCGCCATGCGAACCCTGCCGTTGGGGCATTCGGTGGAGCTCCCTATGGGGCCACGAACCGTGTGAGGGGCGCGCCAAAAACTGCGCGGGGCCGCCATGCGAACCCTGCCACTGGGACCTTCGGTGGAGCTCCCTGGCGCCACGAACCGTGTAAGGGGTGCGCCAGAATCAACGGGGCCGCCATGCGAACCCTGCCACGGGGGCCTTCGGTGGAGCTCTCTGCGGGGCCACGAACCGTGTAAGGGGTGCGCCAAAACGCGGGGCCGCAGTGCGAACCCTGCCACTGGAGTCTTTGGTGGAGCTCCCTTTGGGGCCACGAAACGCTGCACTGTGTAGGGGAGGAGGAGGAGCGAACGACGCGCTGAAGGGGGCGCGTGTCCGCGGGTTAGAGGCGCAGCGGGCCCGCGCCGCCCACGAGGCGCCGAGGCAGCCTCAGGACGCGACGGGCGGCTGCGACCACCTCCTTGTGGTACGTGAGCTCGTCGTGGGTGGCGGGCGCGCCCAGCCCGGCGTGCACCCGCATGATGCTGTACGTGCGGAAGGTCACAGCCATGCGAGCGATGGCGCGCTTCGGGTGGTCGTCGATGTTGTCGCTCTCCTGGAGCGCGAGCCGTGTGAGGATATCACCAGCAGGTTGTCCCCGAGGCTGAGCCAGTAGCGCCCACATTCGCGGGCAAGTAACGTAGTGGTTGATGTCGTCCGTGTTCTTGATCTGCGAGTCTTTGTCGCAGCCGAACAGGCAGTTCTTCTGGTGGGAGTTGACGCGCACGCGGTGCGATGTCGTCCACGCTCCAGACAAGGTCTTGACCACGGGCCAGAAGAGCGAGGCCGTGGAGTTCGCCAGGTGGGGCCGCAGGTCGCGCCAGCCGTGCTCAACACTCGCAGGGAGAGCAGCACGTCCAAGAAGTCCGTCACGGTCGGACGTATCGGAGCCCATCATGATGTCACTGGCGGAGTAGATGCGAGGTGTGGAGGTGGCCGCAGTGGTAGACTGAATGCCGTCGTCTTCCTGCGGGATGTTCGGGTTGGTGGCGCGTTCCTGTTCGATCCAGCGACGGCGGGCGCGGTGTTCAGCAGCTTCATCAGCAAATTATCGATGAGCGTTGGTCGGCATGTGCTCGGTGGTGTAGATCTGTAGGCGGTGGTTGCGAGGTCGATCAGCTCGATGCAATGCACCGTAACATATCTCCTTCGCCATGTCACGGCGAGCATTGGCTGACCCGTACTGGTCATCGAGGCAGAAGTGCGCATTGAACTGGGTGCGGTGTAGAACAGCTGTGATGCACGGGACGCACCAGTCCATCCAGTCGTTGAAGTTGTCCATATCGCGGCCGAAGAACACGCTGGGCATCCATATTGCTGCCCATGCTTCTGCACGTTCATTCAGGTAATTCATGGAGACATGGTTGTCGTTCCCATTCGGCTGCTCGGTCGTGGCAGGTGCCATCTGAGGTCCACTCTCAACAGGAAGTAGAGGGAACAAGGCGCGGAGACGGTGATGGATAGTCTTGTGGAAGGAGTCGCGGTACAGCTGGCGTTGTAGTTCCCGTAGGTATGCTTGTTGTGGAGAGGT